AAGCCCTTGAGGCTCTATTCATTTTTCTTCACTCTTTTTCTTTCTGTTGTTCAAACTGCTCTACAAGTTTATAGGTTCTTTTGCCAGCTCAAACCTGCTGTTGAGCCCCTCAAGTGAATTTTTAATTTTTGTTATTATTATGCAGTTATCACTTAGTAATAGGAGTTTATTAGTACTGTGGGGACCTCAGGAGCCAAGGACAGTCCCCACTGACAGCCAGCAGGAATATGGGGACCTCAAGAGCTGAGGCCAGCCCCAGCCAGCACATGGCAAGAGCACAGGGCACTGTCTCATGGGCAGCTGACCACAACCGCAGACACCACTGCCATGAAGGTGGTCCACCACAGCCACTGCTACAGCTACGACCATTGCAAGGGTGGCCCACTGCCTCAGCAGCAGCCCCCACTGTCACAGCAGCCATCGACACCATGCAGGTGACCCACTGACAACTCGACTGCATTGACAATGAGGAGGTCACCAGTGAAGCCCAAGGAAAGATGTGGGTGAGCAGACCCATGACCCTGTGACCCCACCCATAGGGCAAATTATGTTGTCCCCCAAGGTAGCACACCAGAGGGCAGGAGGTACATGCACAGTCCATGCAACTGCCTTGATTGGGGGAGAGACACACATGGAAACCCCAGAGAGTGCAGAAACCCAGAATAGCAAAGTAGAGTAAGGAAGACAATTCCCAACCATGACCAACCCATCCCCCAACCAGGAGAAGCAAGGACCCAAGAGGAGCCTCTGCCTGTAGGAAAGAGGAAAGAGAAATCCCACCCAAGATCACCCATTGAATCTGAGAAGCTCCAATATACCCACACTGCACCCATCAGGGTCACAGGACACTAGCCAGGGTGCCAACAAGCCAGACTATGGTCACCTACCCCAGCTAAAGAGCAACAGAGCACCCAGGCACTTCTACCAAGAGCTAGCCCACATTCCTGATGAACCTACACAGTGTCACTAACCTCAGCAAGGAATCATTAAGTACCCCAGTGCCTAGGTCATGGAGGTACTCATATGCAACTCCAATATTAAATATGGCCAAAGTACCTACACAGAGACTACACTACTGTGTCTAGTTGGAACCAATACTAAAACACATCTACAGGAGGAAGTATCCCTCCTCAAAGCCCACTTCAGAGTAATAGAAGAAGCAACTGCTCTACCCGATAACCAGACATCAACAAAGAGATACTAGAAATATGAAAAAATAAGAAAATATGACACCACTAAAGGAATACAATAATTCTCAAATACCAGACCCGATAGAGCAGGAAACTCTTGAAATGACTGAAAAGGAATTTTGAGCAACAGTTTAAGGAAACTAAATGAGATACAAGAAGACTCAGTTAGATGACACAACAAAATGAGAAAAACTATCCAGAGCATGAAGGGGGAAATTTACAAAGACCTTAAAAAATAATGTAGCAGAGAATTCCCAGAACTGAACAATTCATTCAACAAAGTAAAAAACACAACTGAGAACTTAAGCAGCAGACTAGAGCAAGCAGAAAAGCAGGACTGATCTTGAAGACACTCTTTTCAAAATAACCCAAGAGGACAAAAAGAAGAAAAAATAATTTTAAAAAATGAAGAAAATCTAAGAGAGCTAACAAATGACCTTAAATGCACAAACATCTGAATCATAGGTGTTCCAGAAGAGGGGAGAAGGAAAAAGGCATTGAAAACATATTTTTAAAAATAATAGTGAAAAACTTCCCAGGTATAAGGGAGAGACATGGACCTTCAGATCCAGGAGACTCAAAGATCCCCAAACAGATTCAATTCAAAAAGGTCCTCTCTAAGACACATTATAGTCAAACTGGCAAAACTCAAAAGACAAAAAGAGAATTCTAAGAACAGCAAGAGAAAAGCATCAAGTCACCTATAAGGGAGTCCCCATCAGACTAACAGCAAACTTCTCAACAGAAACTCTACAGACCAGAAGAGAATGGGATGATATATTCAAAACAGTAAAAGAAAAAAAATGGCCAGTCAAGTATACTATACTCAGCAAGGCTATCCCTCAGAAATGAAGGAGAATTCATATATTTCCCAGACAAATAAAAACTGCAGGAGTTCACCACCACATGAACAGCCCTACAAGAAATCCTTGAGGGAGTCCTACATCTGAAATCCAAAAATATTAATCACTGCCATGAATATACAAGAAAGAACAAAACCCACTGGTAGAATAAAAATGCAAACTAGAAAGCAAAAGAAGCTATCTCTTACCACCTCAAAAAACCAACAAACACCAAAGACAAACAATAAAAGGGCAAGAAAGGAACAAAAGATATTTAAAACATCCAAATGAAAAATTGATAAAATGCCAGGAGCAAGACAATACCTTTCAGTAACAACCCTAAATATAAATGGGTTAAATTTCCCACTCAAAAGACCCAGACTGATTGACTGGATTAAAAAGCTAGAGTAGCAATTCTTATAACAGATAAAATAGACTTTAAACCAAAAACCATAAAAAGAGACAATGAAGGCTACTATATAATGATAAAGGTATCTATCCAGCAAGAAGACATAACAATCAGAAATATATATATATACCCAACACCAGTGCACACAGATATATAAAGCAAACACTGTTAGACCAAAAGAAAGAGATAGACCCCAATACAATAATATTTGGGGGCCTAAACACCCCTCTCTCAGCATTAGACAGATCATCTAGGCAATAAAGCAACAGAGAAATACAGGATTTAAACTCCACTTTAGACTAACTGGACTTGGAAATATCTATGAAACATTTCATCCAACAACTTCAGAATATACATTCTTCTCATCAGCACATGGAACATTCACCAGGATAGACCACATGTTAGGTCACAAAGACTCAACAAATTTTAAAATACTGAAGTCATTTCAAGTATCTTTTCAGACCACAACAGATTAAAACTGGAAATCAATAACAAGTGAAACTCTGGAAACTAACAGATTAAAACTGGAAATCAATAACAAGTGAAACTCTGGAAACTAACAGATTAAAACTGGAAATCAATAACAAGTGAAACTCTGGAAACTATACAAATGCATGGAAATTAACAACAAGCTCTTTAATGACCTAAGGGTCCAAGAAGAAATTAAATTGGAAATCAAAATATTTCTTGAAGCTAATGAAAATAAAGACACATCATATTAAAACCTATGGGATTCTATGCCTCTCAGTTTAAGTCATGAATGTTTATGAGAATAATTTGATGGAAGTGTCATGACCAAGGCCAAAAACTTTCATTTTTGAAATAGAACAAAGTTGGATTACCCCCAGAGGCAATACAATGTTTCCTCTGGGTCCTACAGAATAACCTTATATTTTAATACTTTTATAAGTCAGAGTCAAGACAAAGTGAAAACGAACAAAAATTAGAGAGCAGGTAAATGAGCAAGATGGCCCTTCACCCCCAGAGAGTCTCCCTCTACACTCAGTGGTCTGGAATCATGAAGCACCTCCTTCTCTGGGACAAAAAATCCCAACCATCTGAAGTTATATTTGTAGTAATATATTACAAAGTTAATAGATTTTCACTTTGGAGACACTGGCTTAAAACTTTGTGGTCTGAGTATTAGTGCATTTTCTCCTCTTTGTAATGGTGCACTTACTGACCAAGCGCCAAGCTTGTGTGTGTAGCTGCCTCACAATCATCTAAGGGCTTCCTGTCTTTGGTGCACTTCAAGCACATGACAATGAATGGGACTCACCAACCCAATGAGGCCGAAATCTCACTTCAGTTCCAATAAGCTAGGAAAAGTTAACTTAGCATAAGTAATTTAGGGCAAAGAGTGGGAAAAAGCAAATATTGAAAAATAACTAATCTAACATGAGTGCTAACATTTCTGAGTACGCACACTCCCTTTCTTCTGAGCAGATCAACTTTCTTTTGAGGTGAAGATAAAGTAATCAGTGCACTCTTATTTGGTGTTTCTCTAAGGAATGCTTCTGCATCAGGGACACATGTTCATACTGTACCCTTTATGTTGATAGCTGTCGCCTCTGCTCTCTAAGTGGACAAGATAAAAGAGTTCATTTCCTTATATTTAGTGTGTTACTAAAGTATGCATTGTTTTATCAGGAATGACTCACCAAAGTAGAACTACTTAATTCCCTCTAAATGATTTTGCACTTTGAAATTTAGGAATTATGCCTTATTTCATAACAAGTGGCCTCTGCTCTCTAAGTGGACAAGATAAAAGAGTTCATTTCCTTATATTTAGTGTGTTACTAAAGTATGCATTGTTTTATCAGGAATGACTCACCAAAGTAGAACCACTTAATTCCCTCTAAATGATTTTGCACTTTGAAATTTTGGAATTATGCCTTATTTCATAACAAGTGGCCGTGGTGAATGGTTGTTGTAGTGATGCCTCATTTCCCCATCTCAGCCAGCAGACACTCATTTTTCAAAACACTGGACTTGCATTTCTTTTAAATATAAACCATTTATGAAACAGCCACCCCCACTGCTGCCTTGATAACCATTTGGAATAGCAGCATCATTTATGTTGGCAATATCATTGCTCTGGGTCAGGTTGCAAAATGGCCAAAGAAAACTTCTTGTCATCTAATTCTCAAATTCTAAAGGGAAGTGAACTTTAGGTTATAAATGCTTCAAGCTAGTGTTCTCTTTTTCTAAAAAAGGGAAAATGAAATCTTCAGTTTGTGGTTTGGAATTTTTGGCATGGATATTTATAAAGTGACCCCGTATGAATCACCATAATAACACTTAACACATGGAAAGTATGTACTTGACCAGGTGGACGTATAAATTGGGCACTCTTCTAGAACAATCAGTTTCTCTTTTGTAATAGTAAAATACATAACAGCTTTACTTTTGATGTTATATTCTATGTCTGTTTTAATTTGGTTCCTCTGTCAGTGCAATTACAAAAAGTGGCCACTAATCATATTCTCAGGTTTTAGTATTATTGAGACCACCTTTTTCAGCTATTATATTTAAGTAATTCCATTACAAGCTTTAAGAATGCGTGCAACCTTATACACTGCTATTAAGAGGACATTTGGAATATGGGAAATATCTTTACCATCTGAGGACATCAACATGGATATGAATGAATGTGATGTGTAAATGTATGTTATTTTTTGTCAATATTTCTCTAATTACTAGTAAGATTGAGCATCTTGTCATATGTTTGGTGGCATATAAATTTATTTTTCTGTGAATTTATGTATTTATTTTGCTGTAACAACCTCTTTATAGCCTTTGCCTATTTTTTTCAAGTTGGTTGCATTATTTTTTATTCATTTTAAGTCTACTTTAGATATCATGGATGTCGACCCTTTTTGTTATGCTATGTAGTATTCCAAATGTGTTCTGCTCAACAACTATGTTTTTTACATTTTATGTACTCAACAACCATATTTTAACAAATATGTCCTACTCAACAACTATTTTTCTTAATTTATTAATTGCTTAGTTTGTTGACCTTGTCTTTAGCTGAACAAATTTTTTTAATTTTTATGTACTTCTACTTGTCAGTCTTTTTTCTTAATGGCTTCTAGGTTTAACATCATGTTTCTAAAATCTTTCTCCACCAAATTCCTTCGCATTTCTTTAGGTCTTCTTTTCTTTCTTGCCTTTCATAAAGTTTTACGGGTGGCTTTTTTTTTCATAAAATTCTCGTAAATTTTTTTTTTTTTAATTTTTAGGTATAGAAATTAAGATTATAAAATATAATCTTCTATATCATATTAGAGAACTTTGAATTTTTTAAATATAATTATTCTTAATCTGCCTAGTAGGAATCCACTTCTTCCCCAGAGGGATGTACAACTGGTCCAACTCCACCATGAAATAGGTGATTTCTTCCCTCACCTATTTGAACTGCCACCTTTGCAATATACTAAATTCAAATACAGTCCTTGTTTTATTCCACTAATTTGTTATTCCTTCACTGACACTTACTGTTTCCATCATTGTAGCTATGGAGTGTGGTTGAGATCTGATAAAGGGCATTCCTCCCTTTGTTTTTTATTTATTTTTGTTTCCTGGCTTTCTTAGACCCCACTTTCTTACTCACCTTCCATAATTAATTGTCATGTGGATTTTCAAATCTATCTGTTTCTCTAAGGACCACTGATACTTAACTCAGTCTTTATAATCCATTGCTTAGATTACTGAAATGTTGCAACCACATAGACTGGTTTTCCTTCTTTAGTTTTGCCCACTTTAATTCATCCTCTAAACTTTCTTCATCAGAAGTCTGATTATTTCAAGGCCTCGTGTAATTTTTTATAATAGCTTTATTGAAATGTAATATACATACTATACAATTCTCTCAAGTGTACAATTTTTTAAATAAATTTGCAAAGTTGTGAAACCACTGCCACAATCAATTTTAGAACATCTTCATCACCCCCAAAAGAAACTCCATACCCTTTGGGTATCAGTCCCTGACGCCACCATCTTCCCTGTCCCTTTCCCACCCAGGTCTAGGCAACCACGAATGTACTTTCTGTCTTTATAGGTTTGCCTATTCTGGACATTTCATATAAGTGGAATCATATAATATGTGTTATTTTGTGACTGGCTTCTTTCACATAGCATGATGTTTTAAAAGCTCAGCATGCTGTAGCATTTCTTTTTATGTCCAAATAATATGCCATTATATGGATATTCCACATTTTGTTTATATATTCATCAGTCGATGAACATTTAGGTTGTTTCCACCTTTTGTCTATTATGAATAATGCTGCTATGAACCTCATTCAAATATTAAAATGAGTTTGTTACAATACAATAAAAAAATTCTATGAGGAATTGGTTGTGATTGCATTAAGTTTATATATTACTTTAGGGGAGTTTACAGTTTTTTACAAAATTGAGTATTTCCATCCAGGAAAATTGTTATGGGGTATTGTTGTTTGTTTGGGAGTTTTTTTCATTTTTTTTCACATTATTAGGCCTTGTTTATTACCTTCCATAAAGTTTTATTGTTTTCTTCACAAAATTCTGGTGTATTTCTTTTTTGTAATCTCTATTCACTTTATGTTTTGCCATTTTGAATTGAATTTTTAAATAAAAATTTCTACTTGGTGGTGGAAGCATAAAGAAAAGCTGTTCATTTCTGTAGTTTACCTCGTATCTAACTACCTTGAGAATCACTCATTAGTTCTCATGGTTTCTCAGTTGATTTTTTTTTTAATCTTACAGATAATTATATAATCTCTAAATGCTCATAACTTATTTCTTCCTTTGCAATATTTATATTCCCTATTTCCTTTTATATTTTCTAATTTCATTGGCTAGGGCCTCCAGAATAATGATAAATAATAGTAGCTATGGGCATACATCCTTTTCCCTATCAACTTTAATATTTTTTTAATTTGTTTATTTATTAATTTTTTTTTTTTACATGCTAAGATATTGTTGCAGAGCAGTTGGGAGGGAGAGGGAGAGAGGAAGGGGTAGGGAAACAGGGTGGGAGGAGGAGGAAGAGGGGGTGTGGTCAAGGCCCATGGCACCCCCCTCATTCTGGCATAGGAGACCGGGGGGTCTTCCAGTGGCTGTTCAGTCATTGCTGGGCTGGATGCAGATGTCAGAGGGGTGTGGCTGAAGCCCTCAGCTCCCCACCTCCTGGGCTTGGCAGTCCAGACCGTTTCCAGTGGCAGCCTGGTGGTCATCACTGGGCTGGGTGTTGTCATTGTTGGGGGAAGTGGCTGAGGCCCTCTGTGGATCTCTCCTGCTCTTCCCCTGAGCTCTAGCGGCCCTAGCTTGGCTGTCATTGCTTTTTAATAGTTGTATACTGGTTAATTTGTGGGGGAGAGAGGATGACACTGGGTACCCATCTATTCCGCCACCTTGATCAGAAATCCTTTAATATTTTTAATTGCAAGCATGTTACAGTCAAAATTAAATAAATTTAATAAAGAAAAATCACTCTCATCCATATGAAGACAAACTTTAAAAGATACAAACTTTTAAAAAATTACTAAAATTAAATTGTTTGTATATGTATAGATAGAGTGAGGAAGGAAATATATCAGACTTCTGTGAGTAGGTCTTTTGGGGGACTGAGGTTCTGGAGCAGGAACAGGGGCGAGAGGGAGTCCCACTTTCTGCTTTGTACACTTCTGTATAGCTTGGCTTTTTGCAATATGCATTTTCTACTTTTGTAATTTTACAGTGCATCTTGGAGTAAATCCAAAGAGTATAAAGTGTGTAAAGACTTACCTTTACATATTAAGATTCATGGATGTGTGCATTTTTAATGATTAAGATTTAAGTTTTATGGGGCTGGCCCAGTGGCACACTGGAGAGTGCGCCGCTTGGGAGCATGGCGGCACTCCCGCCAAGGGTTCGGATCCCATGTGGAGACCGGTTCCCGCTCACTGGCTGAGCGCGGTGCGGGCGCGACACCGAGGGTTGCGATCCCGTTACCGGTCAGTAAAAAAGACAAAAAGAAAAAAAAAAAAAAAGATTTAAGTTTTATTCACTAAGTTCAGTCACAACTATATCAGGCAGCTAAAGATTAGATAGATAGGAAGGTAGGTAGGTAGGTAGATGATAGATGAAGAAGGAAGGAAGGAAGGTTGGTAAATGGATAGACAGAAATACAGATATAGAAATAGATACAGATATAGATATAGATCCTCCTGCTGTTACTAGAGAGTCCACAAACAAAAAGATGGCAACAGGAAAGAAACAGGTACAAAAGAAAATCTTATAAAATACACCAGTCAGAATTCTAGGGCAGGACAATTACTATTATCTCCCTCCCTCGGATGCCTAGGAAAACTTGAATTGGGGGATTATTTCATGGTTGAAGAGCATTTTAATTTCTCTGTAATGTCACCTGTTAGTGATTTCCTGTTGAAAGTTCCTCCTTCTGTGACATCACAGGGGAGTTTAGCAATCATAGGAAGGCATCTGCATTATTTGCCCCGGTATTTAGGGCACTGCATAAATGACAGTAGTGCTACTTTTTATTACTGCCTACATTTTGGAATATGACTAAATGCACTTCTTCCATTTTCTCTTCCAGGATCTCCAATGAACATTCACCCAAACTCCAGATCCGGAGTCACAGTTACCTGAGGGCGGTAAGTGAAGTCTCCATCAACCGAAGCCTGGACAGCCTTGACCCTGCAGGCTTGCTCACATCACCGAAGTTCCGCTCCAGGAACGAGAGCTACATGCGAGCCATGAGCACCATCAGCCAGGTGAGCGCCGTCAGATCAGCACTGGCCATGAGCTGTTAACCCCAGGAGGATTAGCGAAAACTAAGAGGGCACGAGTGGAGAGCCAGTTGCTCCCCGAGTAGACCACTGATGAATCAGACAGGGAGTCCAGTCAAATGCCAGCGTACAGCTGCAGCAAGTACCTGGTATCAATGGTCCACCAGGAGGGGCGGGACCCTCTGCAGGAGAAGAAAGAAGGAGTGGGTCTGTAGAAATGCATCAGCAGTCAGTTGGCACCAGCAAATCTGTCAGTAAGGAGTTGATGGATGAGGCTCCAGTTGTAAAGATGTTTGAAGGGTAGGAGCATAGGATGGATGGCACTGGCAAAACCGAGACAATGTCTAATCATGAAAGTACTGGGCTGGCCCAGTGGTGCACTGCTACAGTGCGCCGCTTGGGAGCGCGGCGGCGCTCCCGCTGAGGGTTCGGATCCCACATACAGACCGGTTCCCGCTCACTGGCTGAGTGAGGGGCGGGCGCAGCACCGAGGGTTGCGATCCCGTTGCCAATCCCGGTCCGGTACGGGTGCGACACTGAGGGTTGCGATCCGTTGCCGGTCACGAAAAAAGACAAAAAGGAGAAAAAAAAAAAAAAAGAAAGTACTAAAGTATTAAGCATGTCATCGAGACAGGAACCCAGGCACAGGAAGCAAGATAGGATCTATTTACCTCATCTAGGTCCTAGACGAATATTGCATCTTGTAAATGAAATAGAATCCCACTTTTAGAACTGGTACACAGGACTGGGAATGAAGACTCAAGAAGGCTGACTGAATACTATATTCAAAATATTCAAATAAAACTCTGCAGGCTCTCCCATCGAGTCTCAAGAGAGTATCTAAGAAGGCTGAGCTCCTAAGCTCAGGGGCAGAGAGAGCCTGGAACTCTCTGAGGAACTGACCTGGCATCTTTCAGGAGCCAATAGCAGAGCAGAGGTGCCTTGGGGGCTTCCTCTGGGAGGACATATAGAAGGGTGTTTTTTGAAATGATGTTAGAGACTGGATTTAAATTTATATCATAATTTTAAAAAATAAGTACAATACCACTAATCTAGCTAATATTTATTGAGTAAAACACTGGGCCAAATTTTGCAAGTTATTCAATGATGAGTGATACAGAATACCTGCCCCCAGAGGTTTACAGTCTAGTGGAGGGCATGCAAGAAGCATGGAAGTTCTATCACAAACATTATTTACTTGAACGTCACAAAACCACTCTGAGGTAGGTGAGTATTTTAGTTTATTTCTGTTGCTTATAACAAAATACACAGAACTGGGTATTTTATAAAGAAAACAAAATGTATTGCTTATAGTTTCTGAGGCTGGGAAGTCCAAAGTCAGGGAACACAGCTCGGGAAGGTCTTGGTGGTGGCAACAGTGTGGCAGGGTATCCCATTGTGAAATGGTGGAACACAGACAGCAAGAGAGAGACTAACCGCCTCATTCACTGTCTTTTTAAAGCCCTCAGAACTACACCCATGACTGCCATTTTTAATCCATTCACTACATCATGGTCCTGCAATCTAATCACCTCTCAAGACCTCACCTTTAAATTACAATAACAGGATTTCCCACCCTCTTAACACTGTCACAGTGGGGGTCAGGTTTCAGGGGGACACTTAATCCAATGCAGAGGGCAAGAAAGAACAGCAAGAGCCCTCTTTTGTTAGGCACTTACTGGGTCAGGCACTGTGCTAATTGCTTTATATTTTCTTAATTTAGTCCTTATAAACACCCTGTAAGATATGTAAGTAATAAGATGTTAAATGGGACTTTCCCTGTTGATGGAGTTTGGATGTGTTGTCCCCTCCAAAACTCGTGTGGAAATTTGATCTCCAATGTGGCAGTGTTGGAAACTGATTGAGTCATGGGGGCGGATCCCTCATGAATGGATTAATGCTCTCCCTGGGGGAGGGGGAGTAATGAGTGAGTTCTTGCTCTGTTAGTTCCCGCGAGAGCTCGTTGCTTAAAAAGACCCTGGCACCTTCTCTCTCTCTCTTGCTTCCTCTCTCTCCGTGTGATCTGCTCGTACCTGCCAGCTGCCCGCCGCTTTTCCGCCATGAGTAGAAGTAGTCTGAGGCCCATGCCAGATGCAGCTGTCCCAGAATTGTAAGCCAAAAAACCTCTGTTCTTTATAAATTACCCAGTCTCAGGTATTTCTGTTATAGCAACACAAAATGGACTAAAACACCTGTGGTCACAAAACTGTCAACAAGTTCACAAAGCTAAGAATAAAATTATGTTAAGTACCCAGGATTCTAAAGAGAGAGTGTCTAGGAATGGGGTCCAGAAATATGCTTTTTGACAAATATTCCCAGTGGTTCTCATAATGTAGTATTTTATCTGAACTTTCAGAAATGCTAGCCTAAAGTATATTCAAGGAATACTGAATGCTCTAGTTTGGTTGGAGCTTAGGACACTGGTAGAGGCAGCATTGGGAGATTCACTGTGATTGTCCTGCAGATTATTTTTATGAATGGCCTTTGCATGCTGAGCCCAGGAAATTGTACACTATTCATTAGGAATGGGATTAAGTAAAGATTAATTAAAACTTCAGCTTTGGGGCCGGCCCGGTGGTGCACTGCTACAGTGTGCCGCTTGGGAAGCGCGGCTGCGCTCCCACTGAGGGTTCGGATCCCACATACAGACCGGTTCCCGCTCACTGGCTGAGTTGGTAGTGGCACTGATGCTGATGGCACCGATGGTGGTAGTGACATTGGTGGTGGTGATGTGGTGATCACAGTGATGGTGGTGGTCATGGTGATGGTGGTAATAGTAGTGATGGTTATAGTGGTGGTGGTGACAGTGACAGTGGGGTGGTAATGGTAGTAGTGACAGTGGTGGTGGTGGTGGTGGTGGTGATGAAGGTGATGGTAATGGTGATGGTGGTGAAGGTGATGGTGATGGTGGTGACAATGGTAGCAGTGATGGTGGTGATGATGGTGGTGGTGGTGGTGATGGGGGTGGTGATGGTGATGGGGTGGTGGCAGTGACAGTGACAATGGTGGCGATGGTAGCAGTGGTGGTAGTGGTGGTGGGATGCGTTGGTTGTAGTGACATTGGTGATGGAGGTGGTGGTAGTGATGGTAATAGTGGTGATGGTGGTGATGATGGTAAAGGAGTGACAGTGGTGATGGTGATGGTGATGGTACTGGTGATGGCAGTCTTGGTGGTGGGTGGTGGTGATGGTCACAATGGTTACAGTGACAGTGGTGATGGCGGTGGTGGTGATGGGGGATGGTGATGGTGGTTGTGGTGGTGGTGATGGTGGTGGTGGTGATGGTCGTGATGGTTACAGCGGGGATGGTGACAGTGACAGTGGTAGTAGTAATGGTGGTGGTGATGGTGATGGTGGTGGTGATGGAGGTGGTGATAGTAGTGCCAGTGTGGATGAAATGAATAATGTATTTTAGAAAAAAATGATGAAATTGTAGGCTGATCACCGAAGACTGTCAGAATGAGACCCTGAAATAGGACCATTGTTCTCACTGTGTCCCCGCCATCAAAATAGAGCTCCCTTCT